CTGCGCATTTAGCTGAGCCGTTGATACCGTGGCCCTGTTCTAGTGTCATGAGAATGCTTTTCTCTCAAGGACAAATTCAAAGATAATCGCGTGTTTACGTGGAGGAGTGTGAGGCGTCTCCATAATTTGAAATGTGCAGGTATTGTCGGCCACTCTCACCTACGTCATCGTGCTGGTGCAGTTCCGGGAGCCGGCCTACTCGTCGGCGAGCGACTACAGGAACCAGTCCGCCCTCCAGAGCGGGGTGAAGGGCGAGTAGAGATGAGACCCAGAACTAGGAGTTTGATACCAAAATTTAATAAATAAGATAATTGCCAACAGAACCGCGAGTTTTCTGTTCACAGAGATAAACAAGATGAAAAAATACCATTGAGTCAGAACACTACTCACCACTCTTGTGCATAATCATAAAGCATCTATGACATTCGTTCGTAGTCATCATAAGACGTAAGTTAGCATGGTTTTGCCTACGGTGTCAGCAGCCCAGCCACTGATTTGTGGTCATGGGTCCATCTCTTGGGATGTGAGCGTGCTAGGCGGGGCGTGGCTCAGCTTCGGGATCTCCAGCAGTCGGTGGTCGCGGGGCGTCTCCGCCACCCACAGCCGGGCCGTCCGGGCCGTCGCGAGGGCCAGCAAGGCGGCCACGGCGGCGATGAGGAAGGCGGGCGTGGGCCGCGAGGGGTCCTTCACTATAAATTGTAGCGTACACCGATTTTTTCTGTTTTTCTTGATTTTTTGTGATTTTCTGTTTAATTTTTGTGAATTTTTGTGAATTTTTGTGATTTTTTGTGATTTTTTTTCTGACTCTTCGTTAATTTTTCGTGATTTTTTGGGTGATTTTTTCGTGATTTTTTCGTGATTTTTTTCTAAGGGTGTACATTGATTTTTTTGAATGAAGGACCCCTCGGTGGGCCGCAGCGCCGCCGGGCCGGGGCCGCGTTGCACTCGCACTTGACGGCTGCTAGTTCGCACGTCACCAGACACTCCAGCGAGCCCGCGCCCGCCACGGAGCCCCGCCGGCAGCCCACCCTGGCATTTCCGCATTGCCGCTCCTGCAGGCACGCGGCCACAGGAGCTGACATGATTTACTAATTTAGTAATTTGAGGTCGAAATTAATCAATGAATTGTATGAAAGAAAAGGGGCGGGAGGCTCTAGCTGCCAGTATTACAATGAATGCTGCAAACAGGATAGATCCAGTAAAAGTTCCACATATTTATTCAGTTGTCTGAAGATAGATTTAAAATGCAATACATAACGCAGTGTCATATGCACTTTGGTTACCGTTGAGGCCGCTAAGCCGAGAGGTAGGCCTATCGAGTAGTACGTGCAGCAGCGTTGCGTGCCTAATTTTTATACGTTCTGTGTGTACCAGGTGGCTGATTCACGCCGAGCACTTTCGTAGTCACACTGTACCGCATACCCGGTGCGGGTGGGTTGCCTACTCGCACGAGGCCATAAGGAGCCGTGGGCAGCGTGGATAGGCAAACCCGCCCGTACCCCTGAATGCGGTACAGTATAGTATAACTACGAAAGTGCGCGGCGTGAATAAGCCACCTGGTACAGTTGATTTAAATGGAATGTTAACAAAAGTCAAACTGATTGTGAATAAGATAAAAAATGTGAGGTGTGCCCGCCCCTAGAACTCCTCAACGGTTGCCTGATCGCACTCCTCGCAAAGGACTAATGTCGACAACAACCTCTGCACAACTCTGAGCTGCTCATCGCACTTTGCCTGGTTGTTGCACTTTCTTACTAGAATGACCCGATGTGGCTTTAGCGCCGCGCAGTCCCCCAGGATGGCGAGCAGGTCCTCCTCCGGGCCCACCCCGAGCTGCAGCTCCTGTAACGTGTTTGCGTGTCTGCGCAGCAGAGACTGCAGCGTGTCGTAGGGAAGGCCGAGCGCCCGAAGCCATCTCAGAGAGCTTCTTTCCGGCAGCTGCCGCGAGACGGAACTGGGCGGTTCTACAGGTCCCCCACGGTTTACGAGGGGTGTTCGGGAACTCCCCGAAGACGTTCCTTCACCACCATCCTCGCACTGTTGGCTAACCGAATGCCCCTCTTGAGCGGCGGCGCCGGATATCTCTAGCCTCCACAGCCGCGGCATGGACTCAAGCGCGCGGAAGTGAGGCGCCTGAGCGGACACCAAGCTCAGCTCCTGCACCGTAGGCGCTGCCATCTCCAGGATCTCGACGGGGTCCTCATGGCACCTGACGTTGAACAGCCGCGTCACCTGCGGTAAAGAGACGAGCGCCATGAGCGGTAGTGATCTTCGACCCAGACCACCCAACCGATGCCCCCAAGGATGCTCCAACCTAAAAGAGTCTTAAGACCCACTTTGAGTAGTTTTCGCGAATATCGCTCTAGAGCGATGAAGCTATTCGTCGCTCTGTTTGGGCGAGTTAAGTGACTAGTATGCCTAAATTATCATCAAATAGAACGTTTAACCTTTGGCGCCAGCATGCCCCATGCCCCCTCCTTTGTCCGCTTATATCGTGAACGTTATCAAAACATTTCGCTTGGTTTATTGATGGTGATATAAATTGATGATTCTTGTTTTCCCCTCTACAAATAACGGTCTGGTAAAATATGGAAACATAAATAAACTGTTTTAGGATTTGTTTTACCATCATTTTTTAATTTTGGGAGACTGCAACACTTTTCCCGAAAAGAGGTGAATTTTAATTGGTATTTAGGTTTTCAAAGTCTTTAGAGGCCGGGAAAGGTTAAGGCGACCGTTTTCTCTCCCAACCCCATTCCCCTTCCCTAGACACATGCGTGTACGGCGAGTAAATAGCTTGGTAGCCCCTGATTGTGCGGAGGGTAGGCAAACCCGGCATACACACGTGTATACACTGGCTCTGATTGCCTACCCACCAGGCGGATCGTTACAAACTAAGTATCAAAATAAATAATGCAATTATTGGTACACCTATCAACTTGTTTTTTTACAGTTCTGCCGTTTTTCTGCCGTGGGTGGGGGGGG